CAGTGCAGCTATGAAAATAGATACAAATATGACGTGCATTTTATGTTAATATCATAACAATATAAAATATAATGTATAGTGAATGTGAACGAAATAACGAAATAAATGTGAAATTAACATATATATATATATATATATATATATATATATATACACACACACACAAATAAAAGAGAAATAAACATATATATATATATATATATATATATATATATACACACACACACAATATATATATTATATTCGTATTTTTCAAAAACTATAATAGGCTACTTTGAAATTCTATCTCCTTTCAAATCCATACCAGATGATGCTGCTGAATTATCAACAATACTTTTGCATAACAGTTTTATGTAGCGTTTATATGCACACATTTATGCGTATTTTATTTTCAAATCTGAGCCAGGATCAGCAGTTTTCCCTCTCTTGAAGTATGAGCTATGACGTAAACGCTGACTGTAGATCAGCTGCTGAACTTCTGCCTTTATGTGCGGGATGACGTCAAAGGTGACGTCGGGGTTTAATTCCCGAGGTCAGTGTGTTGTGAAAGTGATTTACAATCTGAACTGGATAATATCTATCAAAATTTGGCACGGGGAGCTTTCATTCGTTCTAGATGGAAATGGATAGAACATGGTGAAAGGAATACCAAATACTTTCTTAACCCTTAATCGGTCCCTGGGGTCCAGCTGATTTCCATATATAAATGAAGGACTAATACTAGAGCACAAAGGCGACATGGAACAAGCATGTTCACTCTCTCTCACACACACACACACACACACACACGCAGGTGTCTGGGGCATTTTTTTGATTTTGGCAAATAAAATCAGACATAAAGTGTGAAGAGGTAGACATAACACACCACACACACGCACACACACACACAGAAAGAGAGGGAAAAGAGCAGATAAAAGAAAGAGGAAAGGCAGCTAACCTTTTGCACTCTGAGAAAGTTTACTGTTTGATTGATTTTTGGCTTATTTCAAATGATTTATTAGATAGTGTGGAAGAAACAAAAGTAGAACCCTCGGTTTTTTCTGATCATAATATGATCACTTTAGTAATCTGCATAAGGAATAGATCAATTAAATTTAAACCAAATTATTGGAAATTAAATAATACACTTTTGAGTGATGAATTATTCAAAGAAAAAGCCATACAAATTATAAATGAAAATTTGTCAAAAGCCAAAAAAGATCAAATATATGGCAAACATTGGGACTATACAAAATTTCAGATCCGTAATATGGCCATCAAAAGGGGAAAATAATTATCTAAGGAAAAAAGAATGAGACAAGACCGAATACTTAAGGAAATAATTTTTATTTATGAAAAGGACGAGCAAACGCAATCTGATATTAATATGTTAATTGAATTACAATCTGAATTGGATAATATCTATCAAAATTTGGCACGGGGAGCCTTCATTCGTTCTAGACGGAAATGGATAGAACATGGTGAAAGGAATACCAAATATTTTCATCATTTAGAAATGTTAGTGTTAATAATATATATAAACTTCAAATTAATGAGCAGGTATCCGAAGATCCTAAAACAATTTCTGATTTTGTGGAAGAATTCTATAAAAAACGATATTCTGAACAAAGTAGCCATAGATCAAATTTTCTTTCTCACATAAAAAATGTTGCACAAGGTATTGACGAAACACAGAAAGAAGTTTGTGATCAAGACATATCCTTAGAAGAATTAAAAAAGAACATTAGCAAGTTAAAAGATGATAAATCCCCGGGGAATGATGGCTTAACAGGTGAATTTTATAAAGTATTCCAAGATTACATTTTTATTCCAGAAGTACTTACATCGAAATGTTGCAGGGCAGTGAATCAAACATCTAAAAAATTTATTATTACATTTTCTATCTTTGATATCAATACCGTTTAATAAGATCTCTTTTTTAAATGTTGATTGCTTAGATTCACTAAATCCCTTTAAAAGCCTCACAAATCCTGCTGGTATTGCATCAATTACAATACTATTTTCACGCAGAGGTATTGGAATACCAAATTTCTCTAAAAATTCAGTATATGTAAGTAAATATCCATGAAAGATATATCACAAGTTAAGAAAACTATAGAGTGCCTTAATATATTTTCTGAAGTGTCAGGTTTATTTTTAAACATTAAAAAATGTACCCTTTTTGCACTTAAAGACAATGGTATTCCTTTTACCCAATTTGAAGGTATTCCAAATAGAGAGGAAGTAACTTATCTTGGTATTAATATTTGCAAAGATCAGTTAAACGGAGTACAATCTAATTTCCAACCCCTTATGTTGAAAATTAAAAAGAAATTTGATATGTGGCTCATGAGGGAATTATCACTCAAAGGTAGGATTCTTTTGTCCAAAACCGTTATCTCGTTTAGTCTATCCTGCTAAAGTGTTAGATGTACCAAAATCTTTTCTTAAAAAAACTGATTCAACTCTATTTAATTTCATATGGAAAAACAAGCCTCGCTATTTAAATAAAAATAATTTATGTAATTCGTATAATCAATGTGCTTGATTTTGTTATGTCTAATACAATTTTCAAGTTGAACTGGCTTAAACATTATATTAAACATAAAGATGAGATATGGTATATCATTCCAAATCTTATTTTTGAAAAAGTTGGATGCATAGAGTTTCTTTTGAAGTACGATTTTGAGGTCAACAAACTCCCCATTAAGTTATCTAATTTTCATAGACAGGCTCTTTTATATTGGATTCTTATATACAAACATAATTTCTCTCCCCATAGGCAGATAATTTGGAATAATAAATATCTTAAATATAAGAACAAATCAGTTTTCTATACTAATTGGGTTAAAAATGGTATTCTAATGGTCTCACAGTTGATAAATAATGACTGCGCTTGTCAAAGGAGGGGGCTTTGTTGAAAACGACGCGTTTGAGAGAGGCGGAGCATAGAGGACCTACAATAATGTACAGTATTTGAAAAATAAAAAATTGTTTTTTGAACATTAAAGCATGTCAACATATTCTGTTACACCAAATACACAAAATAATTACTTCTGGAATAACCATTTTGAGAATATCAACTGGAAATTGATTTGGACTTATAATAACAAATTCTGTGTCACAAATAAAGTTAGTGAAATTTACTTTAAAATTATACATAATTTATATGTATGTTCAATGTATGTAAAATTTTTCTGGATTGATGTTGAATATTTCTTTACTATGTTGAGTGGATCTTAAATTAATATAAGGAAAAGTTATATTTTGTTATATTTTATTTTGATAAAAAAAGATATGGATAAGAGTCACATTTTTATACTAAATCTTCTAATATTATTAGGTAAGTTGTATATACACAAATGTAAATGGTCAGAAAGGAAGCCCAGTATCTCCCACTTCAAAGTTGACTTGAGGATTTATTTTGAAACTCTTCAAGGTCTTTCAAATCGGAAAGCAACCAGAACTATGGATACGCTCAAAGAACTAAACTCCTCTTTTCTATTGTGATGACTGATGTATATCCTCCGTGTCATTTTTTGTTTGTTTGTTTTTTTACAAAAAAAAAAAAAAGTGTTGTGAAAGTGATTATGAAAAGCACGCACATGAATAATTATCAATCTTTATCACTCTTTAATTGTAAGGTGATACACGTGTGTAACTGGTTGAACAACCCGGGTTGGGTTGAATAAGACTTAAATGATTGCAAATTGTTTTAATTATTGCTCTGTCCAACACAGTTCCTAATATTGTCATTCCAATACAAAAAAAACTGTGAAACTGAAAATGAATTTGGCCTATAATAAATATAGCATAATTATAGTATTTTACAGTTAATGAAAACTAAATCATTAGATGAGCAAAACATATTTAATTGATATCTCAAAAGGTATTTCTACGTTTTTTTTTTTTAAATCACTAATTATTCACCTATTGCTATTGCTCATGCACACTCTTGAATCACCTATGAGAAATTTTAACTGAAGTAGCCTATTAGCTTCATAACTGCACATCTGTGTACCAAAGTCTCTGCAAAACTACTCTTGAATCTTAATAAACATGCAGTCCAATGGTCTGGGATAAAACGCTAATATCAAATTACAAATTATATTTTTAAGTGAACAGTTTAAGTAGTGAAATATACTACAGATTTTATTTTAGTATTATTATTAAAAAAAATGTTTTTGATTAAAATCCTACAAATGTCTCCGCCCCTGGATGTCTTTTATGTTTCACATACAGAGTCTGTCAACAGCCAAGAACAGATCCAAGAATGCATAATTTATTTGTTAACTTTTTTGTTCAACTATTTTTGGGAAACCTTCATGTAAACATGAAAAATGAATATACATGATTGAATAAAAATTGATAGGCATCATAATTCAAACACAAAAGAATGCAAAAACTGTTTAGGCTGCTTATGTGGATTTTTGATTTTATGACTGAATCCCTTTCTTTTAATTAAATAAGTTTATTAATATATAGCTAGCCTACTGTAACCGTACCACACTGTAAAATAATAAATCAAGACGGAAAACAATAAATGTGGACTATTACGCCCTCCACTGTCGACAAATAAAAAGAAAATACACCCTCCTGTGCAAGCACAACCGACACTTTATTACTTCAAGAGTAACGTTTATTGTTTTTAATTATTAACAACAAATTTTCAAAAGGTAACGTTAAATAAATAGGTAGTACTTCAGGCCAAAATAACAAGATAGCCTACACTTACTAAATAGGAGTCGCCTAGCCTAAAATCTAACCTGCCTACAAAGTGAAGTAAAAAGTCACAGACTGGCCAAAAACGAGAGAAAAGAGGGAAAATTTGCCAATATGAGTTACTTTTAACCTAATACAGCTACAAAATTAAGCCAATACATTTAGATAGTTGAGGGTGAGTGAATTGTCACTTTTGGGTGGTATTTTCATGACAACGGCTATGGCAATCATATTTTACTTGAGGAACATAGGCTTTTAATCATATGATAATCAGGTTTTAATTCAATTGTTTTACTTACGTTTCTCGTTATTGTTGTGGTAATTCATTCATTTACAGGTCAATCTTCAGAAACAAAAAAAAAGGCGGCAAACCATCGCGCATGCGCATATAGTTAAAGTAAGGAGTCTGGTGGTGAGGCAAAATTATTTTTTTAGAACATGGCCAGGTAAAAGAAACTCGCTTTTTTGAGCATTTAAGTTTTTAAGACAAATCCCCAAAACATAAAGCACATCATCCTGTGAACGAGTGAAAGACGACTTGAAAGAAATAGGACGAAGAAGAGGAGCCATTAAATGCAGAAATACGAAAATACATTAAAATCGTGCTTGCTCAATTTTGTTCAAAATCCTGTTTGTTTTATGTAGCTGTCTTATATATATATAGGCCTAGCTAAGGTCATCTCATCGTCATAAACAGATATAAGCGCATGCAAAACGAAAGGGACTCACAAAGACACTTTTAGTTTTAGACGTGTTGAAAAGAGGAAGCTGAACAGAAAGAGACCTAAAATAACACAACTGATTTATTATGCATTGTAGCGTTTACAACAGAATACACGATAACATACCAGTTATGAGTCTATACTAGATTTTACTGTAATCGAAACATTCCCAATCACATCACAACAAAAAATACTTCATTTTTTTGTAATGAATAATGACGGCGGCACGCATGCGCACAAGACTATTGCGCTGGTGGTCTAATAAGAAAAAAAGAGAACTAAAACAACCCACCCACAAATAGAGAAGCTCCGTGATTGGACGAAACCGACGTTTGAAACCAAGACGTAGCTCGCTCATTGGTTATTACGCTGGAACGTACCGCGCTAAACGCTGAAGTGGGCATCATAGTGTTTTCCCTCCGTTTCGTGCGAAAGGAGAAGAAGCTCGTCTGACGACATGGTAAAGCAAGTTTTAACTGTCTAATTTCTAAAATAAAGCCTAGCTCGGACGGTTATGTTTTGTATGAATTGTAAAGGTGCCGTGCTTTAGTTCTGTGCACGTGATGGCTTTTAATAAGCTCGCGGTGTTTGTGGCTTTGCAGTGTTCTTGGAAAAGAGCGCCGGGCGTGGATTAAAGTGAATTTGGTGCATTATTTAGCAAAAACGAATCAAATAGCCAAAAAAATGCATGTGTGCATTTAATAGGATTTATGTGATATGGCAATATTTTAAATTAATAGACTAGAGGTAACGTAATGTTTAGAAATAAGAGCAAACTCGTCGAAACAATTTGCTAATGTTGTTTGGACACGCTGAAAAATCTAAAAATAAGCTCAATTTTGAGTTTACTTTGGTTTATTTGTACTTTTGTTTAAATGCTAAGAATACAAAGGTATCATGAGTCATTTTTGGGCGGTTTTTAAAATCACTTTATTATTCAAAATTACCTACAAGTCTACAAAAATAAAAAGAATGGAAGGTATAACGTTTAATTAATGTTACAGGAGCGAGATTCATTTTTTTGTAATTATTTGTGACATGTACTAGCAATTTCAGAGGACAACTTGTTTCACTGCTATTTTCCTCAGTGTAAAGCTCTCACCAGAGATTTCTAATCTTCCTCCCCAATGAGACTTTTAAATAATCCTTTTTTTCTTGTGCTTCTGCAGGCAGGAGGAAAAGCTGGAAAGGACAGCGGAAAAGCCAAGACAAAAGCAGTCTCCAGATCACAAAGAGCTGGTCTGCAGGTACATATTCTTATAAAAAAATAAAATATAAAGTGACTTGACGTGGCCAAGTATGGTGACCCATACTTGGAATTAGTGCTCTGCATTTATCCTATCCAAAGTGCACACACACAGCAGTGAACACACACACACCGTGAACACACACCCGGAGCAGTGGGCAGCCATTTATGCTGCGGCGCCCGGGGAGCAGTTGGGGATTCGGTGCCTTGCTCAAGGGCACCTCAGTCGTGGTATTGAAGGTGGGAGAGAGCGCTGTACTTTCACTCCCCCCACCTACAATCCCTGCCGGTATGAGACTCGAACCCCGCAACCTTTGGGTTATGAGTCCGACTCTCTAACCATTAGGCCACAACTTCCTCAAAATATTCCTCTGCCAGATTAGAACAAATGAACTGCTGTTGAATTTAACGGAGTGATATTGAGAGTTTGATTGGTTTTTATGTTTCAGTTCCCTGTAGGTCGTATCCACAGGCACTTGAAGACCCGAACTACCAGCCATGGTCGTGTCGGAGCTACAGCGGCGGTGTACAGCGCGGCTATCTTGGAGTACCTGACTGCTGAGGTAATGATTTTATTTTGGCACGGTTTGTTAAACAAGCCTGTTGGATGTCATAGTGGCAGATTTTTGGCTGGCTGTGATTTCTCTTACTGTGAATCCTCTCTAACCCATCTGTAAAGCAAATGCAACCTCGTTCAAACCCATTGCTCATCTTATTCGCAGGTTTTGGAGTTGGCTGGTAATGCCTCCAAGGATCTGAAGGTGAAGCGTATTACTCCAAGGCATTTACAGTTGGCCATCCGTGGTGATGAGGAGTTGGACTCGCTTATCAAAGCTACTATTGCTGGTGGAGGTGAGTTTCTTATAACTACTGATTTATTTATTTTTAGGTGTATTGCATTAAATATGTAGCTTTGCTGTAAAAGGATATTTTTAGGGCTGATATTATTTTAATGGCATGTCTTTGTGTCTTTCCCTACAGGTGTGATTCCACACATCCACAAGTCACTGATTGGAAAGAAGGGCCAGCAGAAAACTGTATAAGATGCATTGATGTTTGATTCTGTCTTTGTATAGAAAACGGCAATCGGCATTGAGAGAGCAGTTGCTTTTGTTATGTTTCCGCATTAGTTTGGCAAGCGTAGTTTATCATAACAATGTTTAGAGTTCGATGTACTGTATTCATGGTAATTAATGGGGGAGGGGGGTGTTCCGTGTTGTGGGGTAAGGAAATGTAATCATGGTTTTTGTGTTTAGTTGGGTTAAGGAAAAGGTTCTGGGTTTTGTGAGGTTTGGGTTTCATTATTGGCTTTTTAAAATCTGTTTTATACATTAAAAGATTTTTTTTTTTCTAAGTGTTTTTGCCTTTTTGTGACGTTCATTTGACACGTACTGCCTAGAAACTGTTCATATTAGCTTTATGCTCCGCTAAATGCTGCAGGAAATCTATTGAAATGAATCCTGATAGTCATTCTTGGATCGGACATAAGAGATTATGTGAGTAAAATGTATATTAACATTTTCCTAGCTACGTTGCCATTGTATATATTGAAATAAGCGTAAAAAGAAATTTGTACTTGAAGATGTCAAAATATTAGTCAAAAGTATATCGTTTTAAGCACTTGGGTAAACGTATTAAAGCAACTTTTTCCATTTTTTTAACATTAACTTTATCAGCAGATGATTTTATAATAGTTTTATTCATTTGATTATAGTTGATAATTAACTAAATGTGTGTTTATCAAATAGCTGTGGCCATACAGGTTTTAGTTGGGTTAAGGAAAAGGTTCTGGGTTTTGTGAGGTTTGGGTTTCATTATTGGCTTTTTAAAATCTGTTTTATACATTAAAAGATTTTTTTTTTTCTAAGTGTTTTTGCCTTTTTGTGACGTTCATTTGACACGTACTGCCTAGAAACTGTTCATATTAGCTTTATGCTCCGCTAAATGCTGCAGGAAATCTATTGAAATGAATCCTGATAGTCATTCTTGGATCGGACATAAGAGATTATGTGAGTAAAATGTATATTAACATTTTCCTAGCTACGTTGCCATTGTATATATTGAAATAAGCGTAAAAAGAAATTTGTACTTGAAGATGTCAAAATATTAGTCAAAAGTATATCGTTTTAAGCACTTGGGTAAACGTATTAAAGCAACTTTCTTTTTCCATTTTTTTAACATTAACTTTATCAGCAGATGATTTTATAATAGTTTTATTCATTTGATTATAGTTGATAATTAACTGAACGTGTGTTTATCAAATAGCTGTGGCCATACAGGTTTATTTGCCCTTCCACAAATTAAAAGGTCTTAAGTTGGAGCAGAAAGTCTTAATTTCATAGTCACAGCATTAAAGGATCTTTTTGCAATTATTGCAATTTCAAAATACCGGCTATTTGAATATAATTTAAAATATCATTTATTACTGTAATGCAAAACTGAATTTTCAGCATCATTACTCCAGTCTTGAGTGTCACATGATCTTCAGAAATCATTCTAATATGCTGATTTGTTGCTTTAAGAAACATTTATTATTATTATCTTATGTTGAAAACCGTTTGATAAATAGAAATTTCAAATCTTGTACAGAATTAGAGTCTTTACTGTAACTTTTGATCAATTTAATCCATCTTAGATGAGTAAAAGTATTAACGTTCAAAAGTATTCATTTTACGGCAGTAATAAAGCACCTTACACTTTGGTGTAATCAAATAGAAAATGATTTATTTATACACTCCTCTTGTACACATAGACATGAACGAAATAGAACTTTCTCAAGATTTACAAACATATTTAAATAATTCATCAAAACGTTCAAAAAAGATCACATTTGTTATTGCACTTCACCCTGTATTCACAAATGCAACGATGTAAACAAAGCACAAGGCTTAACAGGCAGAAATGAATGTTTTGTTGTCGGTCTCTCGTCTCACTGTGTGTTGTAGTACTGCGAGTGATAGGGCTGGTATGGACTCATCATGGAAGGGTTGCTGGGATGGACAGGAAGGCTCTGTAGGGTGCTGTACTGATACAGGGCCTCCACAGGCAGGGTCGGCAGGCCTCCAGCTGTAGCAGGACTGTAGTGAAATCCCGGGCCGTAAGGTGCCGGGGTCTCCTGGACCGCCGAATAGTAGCTGGGATACGGAGCGGCACGGAAACTGTGCAGATCGGAGTAATGCATCATATGCGAAGCCACCTTGGCCTGGCAGGCGTGAGCCAGACTGTCCTGAACGGTCCGTTTCAGCTTCATGCGTCGGTTCTGGAACCAGTTTCTGATCTAATGGAAAGAAACATGGGATAAGTTTACATTGAACACATAAACAAAAGTTAAATCACTATTTTTTGGCGCCCCCTTTGGTTAAAAGAGTGGAATTACGCATTTGTTGTGGTTTTCAATTCCAGTC